CCCAAGTAGGGTCACAAAGAGTTGGATACAATTGGACGACAAAAGCAGTAGCAGCAGAGCAGCAGCAACAACAGTACCTATGTGAGCCCATGGTGCCTTGAAATGTCTGTCATAAGGCAAATAAGGATGCTGTTAACAGCAGCAAGACTTGGCACCCTCAACTGTTCTTCATAGCTGGGAAAATTTGTGAAGCCATTGACCTCTATATGTCTCCCTTGGACTCTTGAGAAATCTTTCTTCTTGTAATATTTCTTCCTGAAGAGGAGTTCTTGAAGCATCCTGTACTCTTACACTTATCCATCTGTCCCCAGCACCTCAACCTGTAGTGAAATATGCACCCAAATAACTTTGTTTAAACAAATAAATCTATTGATGAGATGAAAACTTCTTGGTGTGAAATGAAAAATATTGATTACTTTCCACCCGTTGGCAGTGAAATCCCCTGTAGCCAAATGACCTGCTTAGATGTAAAGTTTATCTCTATCACCCCCAATCTTCCCATCTCAAAATCCTCTGAAATAAATACTTCATTGTTGGACAGATATTTTCCCAGAGTCAAGGTCCGTGGATTCAGTGTATCATTTATAGTGGTTTTCATTTCTCAGACCTCTTGACTATTACTCACACACAGGTTGATGTTTGAAGACCCAGATTCAGGATGGTGTTGGGTTAGTTTTAAATCAGATTAAAAAGCCTTTCCATTTTTTCAGAAGACAGTTCTGTTATGATTCCTCCATCCTTGGCTGCACCTTGGCCCTCATTCTCTTTCTGCTTTCACAGAAGAGGATGATAAAGCCAGTTGCCCTGAATGTAGGTTTGAGTGTACTGTCTCCCCCTGCCCGACTTAATGAATATACTCTGTACTCTGGGATTTTGCACGTTAGGGCAGTAACTGTGTCATTGTTAACTTTGTATTCCTAGCCCCCATCACAATGCTTTGCACAGAGAAGATATGTTGAATTAAATAGGATGTATCCTGCAAGTTTAGGCAAAGTAGAACAGATACGTGTTCTCTACTAAAGTACTCCTTGGGTACCTCATCATTTTAGAGATGTAGCTGACCCTAGTGTTGGGTCACAAACTCTGGCAGGTCCAACCAAGCTAGAAAGTCTTCAAATATAGGTCTGGTGATAAATTGTGTGTTTGTTGTCTGAATACAAGGCTAATTAATTTTGGAGAAACTCATTATCAGGTTGGCTACAGGATTATGATTTTTTTTTGGCCCCAGAAACTCTCAAAGACCATCTGCTGAGTTATAGGATTACAATCTGTGTTGGTAGAGGGAATACCCCAAATTATAGATCATGGAAGAAAGAAAGAAACACACAAATGCCTGTCTCCAAGCTTACTAGGGGTGTGGGTGGAATGGGATCTGGTTGTCTCACTCCAAAAGGGGTCACTGATTTGTCCCACTGGGAGCAGATGACATTTTACTAGTTTCCCTTAGGTTCTTATTATCTCTAACGGTAAGATAATAAGAGATAATACTTTCAATGCTCATGCTTTCATCAATGATACGATCATTATAATTTGGGGAACAATTTAGCATCATGATAATCTTTTTACACTTTATCCTTGGAATGGTATGGACTTCAATAGCAACAATCAAGGGGAAGGGGCATCATTCCAACAAGTTGCTCACTTGTGTTGCCTGGTAGTGTTGCCTGGTACCCAAATAGTGGGGTCCTTGCCCCATAGTGCTTTTAGGAATGAACCAGTAACTCCTTTGGCAACAGGGGCCATTTTCTTGCATCTAGCAAGAGGATCGCTTCATGCCAAAGATGCTGAGGGGCCGAGAAGCATTGCTACGACTGGCAGACAACTTTTAGGGGCCTCTTATCCAAGACCACAATGCTAGAAATAGGGTGGAAGCTTATGATAAAGGATATGGGAGTGCTCAGATGTCTTCTATAATTTGTTTCATACCAGCTCATCCAGGTTGGTGATTCACTAATCCAGGTGCTAACTATCTATATGCCTTCATTTCTTCTTCTCTTCGGTCTTGCAATTCACCTTTCTGGCCATTTTCCTGCTTTTTAGCCATTCTTCTTGGGGAGAGGGCTGGAGCAGAAAAAGGAATGGAAATGCATGCATATTGCTGTTTCTCAGAAGAAGAAATTGGAAAAGGTGGAGGGTAGGAGCTGTTGATTAAAATGGAAGTATGGTCTTGTCTGTGGATCTCAATATCCAGGATCCACTAGATCATAAACAAAAATGCCATAATGTAGGATAATGAAGATGAAGAAGAAAATGGAGATGATTGCAATCATCCTTTGTTACCGCTTATATTTAGCCAATGAATTTTAAGTCCCTGCTTTTCAGTAAAATCTTAATTCGAACTCTCCCCACCACCAGTTTTGTGGATCCTCCAGGTTTTGTGTGGGAGTCTCAAAACTTCATCCACCTCCACTTCCTCACCCCCTCCCAAGGCCTGTAAGACAGACATCCAATTAAAACTGATATCCACACTTAAATGTGCAGGTCAACAGTACTTAGTTCAGGAGATGATAAGGTAGTTGTCGTTGAGTCATTTACACCAAGGCATGCACCCTAATCTTCCACTCCAGAGCAACTGTCGGAGATACTAGAGTTAGCATCTGAATCTTTCTTTCTCCTTCCCCCACCCTCTCTTCTCCCTCTCCCACTTTTCTCTATCCCTCCACCCCTTTCCTCTCTAACTCCCTCCCTTTTTTGTTTCCCTCCCTTTATCCGTCTCCCTCTCTATCTCCATCTCTTTCACTGTCCCTTTCTCCCTCTCTCTCTATCCCTCTCTTCTCTTTCCCCCTCTCCTCCTCTTTTCTTCCACCCCTCCCAGGCTGCGTCAGTCCCCCAGTAGCGTGACGCGCGGGGTCTGGGTGGGAGCTGTCCAGCAGCCCAGGGTGCTGAATGCAGCAGCGGAGGCAGCGGAGGCGGTGGCGGAGACAGCAGAAGCCACAACACTCAGAACCTCTCTTTTCAGTCCGGGGACCTGCAGCTTGCCGCCCCCACCGCCTCCCTCTCAACACCACCCTTTTGCTTTGCTTTTGCACCGCAGATCGAGCTGGGGGACAGAAGCCGAGGCGGCAGGCTCTGAACACCGGGGAAGACAAGACGACACCCGACATCCTTGCATTTTATTTGCTTTCTCTCCCTTTTTATAATATATTTGCATATATATTATACATTTTTTTTTGCAAGTCAAGGGCAGGAAGCTAAAGCCACATCCTGGCTCCCCCCAAACGCCGCCACATCTCTCCCCTCACCCTCCCCTCCCTACAGTCTCCAGCTTGCACCGCAAACAAGCCTTACCTCGTTGCATCTGCGAGGAGAGGTAGCAACATCGAATAGAGCCAGCCAGAAGAAGCGGACAGGAGGGGAGGGCGGAGAGGGGTAGGGACCCAGCCAGGTCGGCCGCCGAGAGGTGGGTGGGGGGCTGGTGGGGGGAGGGGGCAGGGGTAGGAGCTGCAGGCAAAGACACAGCAGCCTTCCCTTTCCCCCTCCCCCTCCCCAAAACCACCCCAGACGCGGACTGCAAGCTTTTATTATTATTTTTAATTGTATTATTGCACTCCTTTTGTTTTTCATATATATACGCATATATATAAAAAACAATATTCCGTCTCTCCAAGTCGGCCCTCCTCACCCTCCACTCTCCTTGTCCCTCCCGGCCCTCACCCCTCACCCCCACCCCACGCCTGCCTTGCCTACGGTCGCATGGCAGCGCTACCAGGGAGCTGGGGCTCAGGGCCAGCCCCCAGGGAAGGAGGAGGAGGAGGATCATGAAGCTCGGACCCGCGGCCGCGCCGAGCGGCTGGCAGCAAGAGGACGAGACGGAGCAGCCCCCACCCCGGAGACAGCCGGACGCCGCCGAGAAGCAGCAACAGCCTCAGCCTCAGCCACCGCCGCCGCCGCAGCAACAGCAGCGCCGGACTCGGTCAGAGGAGAAAGAGGAGGAGGAGGAGGAGGAGGGGGGGGAGGAAGAGGAGGAGGACGGCGACGAAGAGGAGAAGGCGGCGGAGGAGGAAGAAGAGGAAGAAGAGCAAGGGGTCAGCCCTAACCTCCAGTTCTCCCTGCCCTCGCTGCCCTCCAGCAGGGGCCTTTAATGGAGCCAAGACGAGGGGACCTCGGATTTACAAGCTACAGCAAGGGTGGTCTGGGAGCCGAGATCATGTAACCCACCCCTTCTTTCCTCCTCCCCCCTTTCCACACACCCTTTTTTCTTCCCCTTAAGCTCACCTCCCTCTTTCCTTAGGGAGGGACCTCCACGCTCAGGAAGGAGCCCGCACTGCAAGAGTTAAACGTGCTTTCCAATCTCTCCCCACCCACCCCACCCCAAGAGCCACCACCACCTAGTCTCTCTGTCCAAACCTATCTTCTCTTAAAAAAAAAAATCTTTGTTGTCCAAAAAGCCTTCCCTACCCTCTCCATCCCTTTGGCAGCAGAGGCAAAGCACACTTACCTATTTCAATAACCCAAATCTTCCTAACTCAACTCTGCTCCTACCAGCCTCTCTGGTGCTTCTGGGATTAATCTCCCCAACTCTCTTCACCTAGGGTTTGAAACTTCCAACACACCACCCCCCTCCCAGCCCTATTCCTTATTACCCGAAGAAAGTCCACCCCCTTTACATACACTCATAACCATTTATCAGGAGTAGGTTTTTCCAGAGTTGAGCTCAGTCCACTTCCTTATTTGGTTTAAACTCTTCCTGCCCTAACCCCTCTAATCCAAAAGAAAGACACCTCCACTCCTTACTAGGACTTTGAGGAGAATTGAATAATTCTCCAGCCCCTACCCTACCTCCCACTCCAAAGGAATTCCCAGCTAAAAAGGCTTTGGGCTGAAGGCCCAGTCTTCTCAACTCCTCTCTAGAGTCCCTCTGTTGCCCTACCCTACCCACTTAGCCCCAGTTTAAAGACAGAGAGGAGACCTTCTTGTCCAAATCAAGCCCTGGGTTTGAGGGAAGAAAGAAGATAAAGACAATTTTTTTTTCTTTTGGGGGGTGGGGGGGTGGGGGAGGGTTTAGTAACAACACATCATAGGAAGTTCACCCCTCAGGGGCATTTAGCATTTTGTGATTTGGAGGAAATTTAAGAGAGGGGAGTGACAAAGTAAACTCCCCCTCAACCCCCATAGCACAAATACACTGTGGTCCCCCCACCTCCATCCAGTCCCCCTATCCCTAAAGACTCCAGTTGGGAGCTCGGCCCTCTCTCTACCATAGGCACATGCTAATGCCCCTGAGTGGGTTCCTTTGGTGGTGGTGGTGCTGTTGCTGGTACTGCTGTGGAGGGTGTTACCAGGCTCCCCAGATGTTGCGCCACCAGGGTCTCCTCAAGTGCCGATGTCGCATGCTCTTCAATGACCTGAAGGTCTTCTTGCTTCGGCGCCCACCGCCGACCCCGCTGCCCATGCACGGTGACCCCCAGCCCCCTGGCTTGGCAGCCAACAACAACACCCTCCCAGCCCTGGGTGCTGGTGGATGGGTAGGCTGGAGGGGTCCTCGAGAGGGGCCCAATGGGGAGATCCCTCCTCTGCCACCTCCACCACCCTTTCCACCCTCCTCTGCAGAGGACGACTGGGGTGGCCAGGTTGTGGAGCCACCTGCCTCCCTGCTCAGCAGCACCTCCTCAGATGACTTCTGTAAAGGGAAGGCTGAGGACCGCTATTCACTTGGCAGCAGCCTGGACAGTGGCATGAGGACCCCCCTCTGCAGGATCTGCTTCCAGGGCCCTGAACAGGTGAGTCCTTCTTCTTCTTCTTCTTCTTCTTCTTCTTCTTCTTCTTCTTCTTATCTTACTCCTTGGCATCTTCTGGGTGTTGAAGATGCATAGTTACTAACCTATATATTTTAGATGAACTCTAACTTGGGTCCTGGAGAGGCCAATCAGATATTCTCCATTTCAAAGCCCCAAAAGATACATTATGAGTTTCAAGGACTCATCAATGGTTGATTCTTCTCTCTAGATTTGCCAAGGTGGCCAAGGGATGGAATCTTTTGTGTCTCTAGTAGTATCTTACCAGTATCTCATCCTAGTGGTATCTTACCCATCTTGGAGGAAAAGGAATGGGGAGTAGTGACTCTGGAAGAGATTTCTTTGGTGTTACTGACATGTTTTAGTCGTCACAATTCCCTTTTCAATGATATAACCCCAGCCCCACTCAGAATGCTTCCTCAGCAGCCTCAAACTCAAGAATAAGGAGTCCAGAAGACATTAGGGAAAGGAAGCCTATTAGCAATGATATTTTTTCAGGACTCCCTTTGGGTATCTGACTCTATCTGGGGATACTCTCTCATATCTCAAGACCAACCTCACAGTCAACTTTTTCTGCCTCCACAAGTTCTCCAAGACCCCTCTGGCTTTCCTCAATAGATTCTGTGCTTTTTATTTTGAGAACATCCCAGCTCTAATGCCTTGTTTTCCAGAGCACCATCTTCTCACACCCACAGTAGATTATACACCCACACTCACAAAGGATTACACAGTTTGCTCAAAAAGCCCTAGTATTCCATAACCCCCGCCATGACTGCAGACTGAGATTCAAGTTTTTCTAGGTAGAAAGATGAGATAGAGAGATATGGGGGAGGGGTGTTTTGGTAAGTCTCTTTCTTTCCAAAGAATCTAAAACTGATGGGTTCAGAAATAGCTTTTGAACAGCCTATATTAGAAGAGCAATTGGAGGTGAGCCTTGGGTAGAAAGACTTTCTATTGGACCATTCATTGAAGTCTTTTGGCAATAGGAATATATACTCTCACTGATGGAATTCTGACCACAGTTCCTGCATCCTGGGTCCTCTTTCCTGCCACCCTGGTTCACTCCTCGTAGACATACTACCTGTCTAAAATCCTGAACCTACTCTTGTCTTTTGGCATATCTGGAACATCTGGGAAGTAGCCATATGTTTCCTCAAAGTCCTGAGTTGTGCCAGTTCTTGCCAAGGGAACTCTCAGGTGAAGGATTCTAATAGAGAGACCTGGATTCATCCCTATAAGGAAAGTAATGAGCTGGGCATGATGAAGAGGAAAAAAACTGGTCAAAACAAAATAAAGTTAGAGTTTTTTGGAGGATGAAAAGTCGCCAATTTGGGCTTCTAGCCATTGGAAAAGTCCCATAAACACCTATCCTGCTATTTATTCCCCAGTTCCATGTCCATGCTGCTTTGGGCATTCAATTTATTAGAAAATGTTCTGCAAATTCACAGGTTATACTTTCCAAGGAATGGAGATCACACTTGTATGACAAGAGAAGCTAGAAAATGTGGTTTGGATAGAAAACCTGAGGGGATGTAAGAAGTTGGCAGAAACTTTGGTGGTGGTGAAGAGGGCTGGGGCAGAGTGATGGGCTCCAACAAATACTTCTTAGGTAGTTACATTGTGGTAGAGACGGCATTTATGAAGTTTGATGAGCAAAAGATTTAACATAATGCAGGCAAGATACCTTTCAATTGCTTGCTCCCTTCCTGAATACAGGATGGGTGCTGACTTTGTAGTCCGGGCAACCTGTTGCAGAATGCTTAAGGATCCAGTGTTGATTCCAGGGCATAGAGGTGGGTTCAGGGAAATGGGGATGGTATGTCACAGAACAAAAGTCTGGGAGGTAGTAGCCACTGCTATATTTTAGCTACATCTCAATAAGATGAAATTACTTTGAGAGACTGGGGTCTAGACTAGTAACCATGCAGCTTCATATGAAAGCATTTCTGCTTTGAACAGAAATGTTCTCACCTACCAAAGGAAAGAAACATTTCTGATTTCATTGATATAGGGAACTCCCAGATGAGAAAACCTCTGGGACCAATGCAAGCTAGCACCTTCTCTACCCTTTTAGTATTAGACAGATGTCCAAAAACACTAAGAGATTAAGTGACTTGCTCAGGGTCACACAGCCAGTGCGTGTGAGAGGCAGAACCTGAACCCAGATCTTTCTGTCTCCAAGGCCAGCTCTCTATCCACTATTCACACTGCCTTTCAACAAAGGAAAAATCAGGAATCCCACCCAGTTCTCTACTTCCAGACTTCACCTTTCTCTCCGATTCCTGAATGTACAGCAGAGAAACTCTTTCTACTGGGAGATCATAGTGAATGAAGACTTCATGCTGATTACTTTCAGTGGGGCTTAGTACCAGGATCACAGATCCTCAGACCAAACCCTTCTGTGATGGGAAAGAATCATTCAGCCTTCTAGGAGTTCTCCTGACATTTGTTCTGCCCTCTTGGGATCTGGTGGTATAGGTTACCCCATCTCCTCTGAGATATCTTAGCCCTGTTGGAATAGGTGCTTATGTCTGCTGCAGAAAGCATCCAAGTCTCTAGAAAACAGCAAGATCGGAATTTAAGATATAGATTCTAGGCCTCACCATCATCTTTGTTTCTCTGCATTCCTTTAGTAAGGTGTCTCACTTTTTTAGATCTCAGTTTTACTCTCATTGATATGAGCAAATGTTTCCTTCTTCCTTCTGCCAAGTATTTGTTGGGAGGCTCCAGGAGAAATCGAATGTGGGTCTAATACCAGTAGTGTTCATTGATTCAATCTACTACAGGGCCTTCCTTAAACTGGAAACTTTCTCTTTCTGTACCTCAGTATTTTAAAGTGGCATCAAAGTTTAAGCAACAAAATCAACAATTCAGATTTGTTTTTGTTCTTTTAGCTTTTCAAAGCTCTTTCCTCATGAAAGCCAGTGAGGTTACTGTGATGGAGTGGTAAAAACAATATCTGTGAAATCACAGACTTATGTTGAAATCCAGGCTGTGACAATTATCTGTGGTACCTTGAACAAATCTCTTACAAATGGGATAGTAATTGTAAAGCACTTAGCACAGTGCTTGGCACATAGTAACCACTATATAAATGTTAGTAATTGTCATATTATTATTATTATTATTAATTACTTACCCTCTCTGGCTTTAGTTTTCTTATCTGCAAAATAAAAGGGTTGAATTGGATGATTCCAAAGGTTCCCTTAATCTCTAAAATGTGTGATTCTAGGAAGATAGTGTAAGTATTATTAATCTCATTTTACAGATGAGGAAACTGAGGCTCAGAGAGTGATTTGTCCATGGCCACACAACTTGTGTCAGGGTGGAACTCAGGACCTAGGTATCCTGACTCCAAGCCTAGTCTCCTTGGCACTGTAACGCAGGGGAACCTCCTTTGACATGTGGGCTACGTTGCTGTTGCTTAAATTAAATGTATTATCAGGATGTCACTGCATTTGCTGGTTATATTTAAGGGATATGTTATAGGCCATGTTATAACATGTAGGCCATGTTATTACGGGGTCAACTTGGAGTAATAATTACAGCAATAACCTGCTCCTTAGAATTCTAAGCTACCTTTCCCAGCTTTGATCTCCCTTCAACTTTGCAGTATCTGTACAAGAGAGGGTGAGGTTTGGGATGAGAGGTGACAGGAAGGGGATCAATTACTCCCCATTTTATGAAAGAGAAATCTTTGAAGAACAGAAATGGAAAATATGGCATCCTCCATCTTAGCTATTTCAGCATGTGTCCAGCAGTCAAAATCACAGAATCTCAGAGTGAGAAGAGAACTTGAAAATTTTCTAGTCTACTATGTACCTGGACCAGAATTCCCTTTATAGAATTTCTGATGAGTGCCCACTTAGCCTCCTCCTGAGTGGGGAACACACTACTAACTCCTAAGGCAGTCCAGTCTGCTTTGGGACAGCTCTGTTAGGAAGTTTTTCCATAGACAGAGCAGAAATCTGCCACTCCTTAGTGCCTACCTGTTGGTCACTCTCAGGCCTAGAAAACAAAAAACATTTTTAGAGGCTGAGCATTTGGGTTTTCTATTCATCCTCTATCACAGTGGTGTCAAACTTAAAATAGAAATAGAGGCCATTAATCTGGTACATACAAATCTGTGTGGTTGCATATTAACTAGCTTAAAAATGTGATGTTATCTATGCTTTATTGTATTTCTGTTTATGTTGTTGAATATTTCTCAATTATGTTTTAATCTGGTTTGAGCAGCATTTTGGAGTGGACCTTGTGTTTAACATCTTTTCCTCTACCATATGTGTACTTAATAACCTTCTATGTGTACAACAGTACTTTGAGTGCTGGTGGAGATTATGAAGCAAGAAACTGGATCTCTTGCTTCTAAGGGCTTCCAATATAAATGTTGGAGATTGGATCAAACTGTAGTGATCAGAATAGCTCCACCTCCATACAAACAGCACTCTCGACATCACTGCCCACAAACACAGACATAAGTGCTTGCCCTAGAGAGCATATTAGGCAGGATGAGGAAAGGCAGAGTTATTGTGAGAATAAGTGATGCTTTGAGATTAGGCTCTGGTCTATCTGAGAAGGCTGGCTAAAAAGCCCTTCTCAACTGCTCGCTCTCTCTCTCTCTCTCTCTCTCTCAGCTTCTTGGAATTAAAAATGGGTCAAGGATTGAAGAGGGTATGACCTACCCACCCCTCATGCACAAAAGGACTCATTTTCACACTGCCTAAATCACATTCCATTGATTAGTTCAGAAAACAGGGCCCTCCTTCCCAGTCTATTTAAACTGAAGAGATTGTTTTCACTTCTAGTTTGTCAGGAAAACTAAGGTAGAAGCTGCCTGGCTGTGGTTGTTGATTACTCCTTGAGCATCTAGAATGCTTTAGGCACAAAGTACCTTCATTATCTTCATTATCAAAAAGCCTGTATTAAGTGCCAGTCTCTGTCTGGTGCTCAGTTGAGCAGAGCTTCTATTCTAGAGGGGTGATATG